TGCTAATATTCACATTTAATACGTGAGTAATGAGTGAAAAAAATATAACAAATTACAATCTTTAAATTCTCAATAATTTCTGGTTGTACTGTATATGGCGGCAGTTTGGTCACAAAGAACAAGTGGTTAAGAGCATGAGCACAAAGTATATAGTATGCCAGAACAAGAACTGAATTGGCTCTTGCAACAATCGTCTAAAAGACGATTAATTGACAAATAAACCATGAATCCACGACTTGATCCTTAGCAAAGTGTGAATAGTATATTTTTCCATCAACCTTCTTTATGCAGCATTCGCATAATAGGTGACATCTGTTCAAACAAAGACACAAGATAAGGGACTGTTCATTATATATGGCTGAGGGGTGTGATGATGAACATCTTCTTTTATGGAAAAGCATGTATAATTTGAATCTCTCTCTCACACACACACACACACACACACACACACACACACACACACACACACACACACGCTCTCTCTCTCTCTCACACACACACACACATGCTCTCTCTCTCTCACACACACACACGCTCTCTCTCTCTCACACACACACATGCTCACACACACACACACTCTCTCTCTCACACACACACACATGCTCTCTCACACACACACATGCTCTCTCACACACACACACACACACACATGCTCTCTCTCACACACATACGCACGTACTTGCTCTCTCTCTCTCTCTCACACACACTTTCTCTCACACACACACTTTCTCTCTCTCTCTCACACACACACTTTTTCTCTCTCACACACACACTTTCTCTCACACACACATTTTTTCTCTCTCTCTCACACACACACCTTCTCTCTCACACACATTTTTTTCTCTCTCTCTCTCTCTCTCTCACACACACACACACACACAAAATTATGTACAAAATAAGCGACCCCCCATGTCATGTTCAAAATTGTTGACCTCCAACAGCTGACGTCCTGTTATGCATCATTCATGCCATTCCAAGCTGTGTTAAACATAACTAGATCAATGACTAACTGTACTGGATGAACGATATTTTGATTGATAAATCCTAAGATGGAATATTTTCCTTGATAAACCTTCCAAAATTGACAAATAAACAACACCTGTCAATAGCAGGTATGGGATCCACAAGATGAAATGACATACTGAAACCTCGGATCCATGCTTACAATAAGCTTAGATATTTAAACCAAATTTGACCCCACATCATAGTTTTCTGTTGAATCCATGATTTGATCCTAAGCAAAGTGTGAATAGTATATGAATGTTGCTACCATCTTAGTGTTAAGAACAGGGGTGGAAATAACCCATTGCCCGACGTCTGAGTCCAGTGTTTTTGTCTGCCGGGCAAGCAAATTTGTATTTCAGACTGTACCGGTGTCCAGTTGACTTTCCAATGTTAATTATGTTGTTTATTTAAAAAATCAGCAAGAAAATGGTCGGTATAGTGGTAAAATTATCAGGGCAAGTGACTTTACATGTGCCGCTGTACCGGAGTACACTAGCAATTTTAAAGTTATTTCCACCCCTGAAGAAGTGGAACAGGCCCCAGTTTGAAGAGCGAAGCGTTGACATGAAAATCACAAGTTTGAACAGTGTATCTGGCCACATACATACAAACATATCTGACTGTAATATTTGATGTGGGTATTACTATGTGACTATAGCATCAACAATGAACAGAGTGATAGACTTGACTTCTACAGCTAACATATATTCATCATAATCTTCCTCGGCAACTGAATACAGACGATGAATTCTGACGCCAGTCGTCAGTAAAATATAATACAGAATACTATTAATTAACCCAAAGAAATATATCCTAGCATTGTGTAATTTTATTTACAGCTTTTATGTAAAATATATATAATCAACACTAAGGTTATACAGACCCTTATGAACGTGGTAAGCACATGGAATGGGGTAGGAAGCCATTTAAATTCACACATTTTTTACCGATGTTACTGTAAACAAGCAGTCAATGGAAAACGAGGCGGTAATCAGTTCGTGATTGTTGAATGGGGTAAAATAAGCAAGCCAGTTTGTTGCTACAATAAATATGATATTTCGAGAAGCAAAATATATTATGCATTTTCTGTCAACTACACTTCGTTTCGATCCGTGAGTAGACACAATATATATGACAGTGAATTCTTTGAATAATGTGGTTTGTGTTTGCCGCGATTAGGACCCCATTGTGGGGGATCGACTTATGCACGAAAAATACCATTTTGACACTGATTTTAAGGGTCAAGTTTGGGGGTCGTCTTATCCATGGGGTCGTCTTATAGACGGTCATATACGGTATGTGTACCAATTCTGTATAATTCATATCCATGACCAAAGATCATGACCTATCCAGTGCTACCTTGAGTTACACCATGCACACTGATCAGATGTGCAGCATCCAGGGAACAGCCAATAGCAAAACATGTTCTTTGACTACACAAACCATTTGGAAGAACCTGTAAAATCTGAAGCCAACCAGAGGATACGTAGGTAGGTAGGTAGGTAAGGTTTTAGGGCGACCTTGGGCCTTAAAAGGCCTATATGCGCCCAACACTTAACAAACAGTTATATTTTTGTTCAGTTAAATTACGTTGTACTTACCCGTTTTAACGAGGAAGTCTAAAACAGCTCTTTGTATCCAACCATACATTAAATTATCGCCAAGGATTGCGTTCATTGTAAAAGTATTTTGGGTTTTGTTAAGTTTCATTAAGAGCCTTATTTGGTTTTCATGAGCTGGACATTCAATGAGGTAGTGCTGAACTGTTTCTGGGCAGTGTAAGTTACAGCTTTCACACAGAGGAGATAAGTCTTTATCTAAAATACTTCTATATGCCTTTAATCCACAATGTCCCAGCCTGAGGCGAGTTGAAACAACTTCATCTCTGCGACAACACCAATGCATTTTAAAATGTTTGTTTACTACAGGACAAGTAGAGTACATGTGTCTACCTGTAGTTTCATTGTCCCGTTTATTTTGCCAAGATGCAGTTATTGAAGATGAAATGATAAACCAGTAATCTCTTGGAATGGGCTTAATTGATTTAATATCTGGCTGTGGTCTGTTGCAAGCCATCTTAGCAATTGTGTCAACTACTTCGTTTCCAGCTACACCAACATGTGCAGGAATCCAAACAATATCACAGCTGATGTACATGGAGTTTAAAACAGTATCAAGATACAAGACGTCGTATAGTATGTCACTGCGTGGACCTTGTACACTTGATTGAATTGCTTGTATAGCTGTCAACGAATCAGTAAAAATTATTGCTTCGTGTTCATTATCTTTTACCCATTTTAAAGCTTGAAGTATGGCTGTCAATTCTGCTGCAAATACAGACAGATGATCAGTCAATCTAAATCTTTTGGATAAACTAAGATCGGGAATATAAAAAGCTCCACCAACATCACCAGTTCTGGGATCCTTTGAAGCATCAGTGTAAATATGAGTAAAATTATCGAATTCATGTGTGCCGCCGTGCTCAAAAACCGAGGATATAAGCTTATCTAGTCTTACCTCCCTTTGTTTAGATAGACATGAATGTGTGGATACAATAAGTCGTCTCCCTTCAATAAAGTATAGAAGTTGGCTGGTAAACAACATCGTTTCACCAATACCTCAATGATAAAATGACCCAAAGAAAAAACCCATTGTAGGATACATTGGCGATGGAATAAATCAGTCCATGGATAGAACAATATGGTTATACATGGACCAAGAATACACTGATTGAAGAATGGACATGGGATACAAATACCCAAGGCTACAATGGTCCTAGAATACCATGGTCCTTAGATACATTGATCCTAGGATACCATGGCCCTTAGATACATTGATCCTAGGATACCATGGCCCTTAGATACATTGATCCTAGGATACCATGGTCCTTAGATACATTGATCCTAGGATACCATGGTCCTTAGATACATTGATCCTAGGATACCATGGCCCTTAGATACATTGATCCTAGGATACCATGGCCCTTAGATACATTGATCCTAGGATACCATGGTCCTTGTATATCATGGTCTTTGGATACAATAGTCATAGATACAATCAGTGTGCGAAATAGTCACTGGTCCGCTAGCCCGTGGCTAGCAAAAATCCAGGCAGGACATTAAGTCTCCACAGTCACTGGCCTGACTGGCTAGTGAATTTTCACTTGGTGTCATTTTGTAAATATATCACTCTCTCCGACTTGTTAAGTTATAATACACTTTAAATCATGCAACATTATGGCCTGATAAAAATGTTCATCATATTAGCAGCTTAATGATGAAACCCGTGTCATGCCAACAATATCTTATTCTCATCTATTTTTTAATCTTTTGCTTAGTTTCTACATTCAAATTTTGGGCAAATGAATTATTTTGTGGGCCAGTTACTTTCAGGCATAGCTAAATTTGGAAACTATTTCGCACACTGGATACAATTATTATGGGATACACTAGTCCAAGGCTACAATGGTCCCAGGACACCTTAGTCCAAGGACACAATGGCCCATTGGCACAGTGTATCTGGAAACAAATGCCTCAGGATGCTGTGGTCTAAGAATATCACTACAACCTCGCTGAGAGACTGTAACTTGTGTAAGATTGTCATCTTCTGAAGAGCGAAGCTAGTTCTGGCAGGCTGTGGCATCTTGTCATCTCTATGTGACTTGACCGTAAATCCAGTTCCGTAAATACTTGGTTTTCAAATTCCACACCACACATGGCAACCACTGTCCCTACCATCTCACATACAAAATCAAAATGCGAAAAACCATTTGAACTCTTTTAAATAACACTATTTATCTGAAAGTAATTTTTGTTTAATGAAGTGTCTTTAAGTCAAAGGGTATTTCCCTCCAAATTTAGTTGAAAGAGTCAAATACTGTTCAGGAATTCTTGACAAATTTTGCAAGAAATGTCAGGATGATCTTTAAACCAAGTAGTTACAAAACATGCTCAACAAACAAAAACAAAGAGTTTGACAACGATGTGCCCACTTACCTTCACAGGACTTGAGAGGAACATTGTACTTCTTGAGGAGTCTCTGAAGTTGGTTGCGAATCTCCACGGCCCGACAAAGGCCCTTGTAGTTGAGGAAGTACTCATGGCACCACTTAGAGTTCTTACCATACTGGACAACAGAAAAATATAATGTTTAGTGCTTTGTCAAATAATCACTAAGTTTTGTTATTTTCAACGTCTCGGGCTGCACTTCTGCCACATTTCTGAGGGAACTTCTTGTAACATGTTCTAAAGAGATTTTATTTGACATGGCCAAACAGAGCTTCTTAATACATGATCAAAGGGAACTTCCTGCCAGGTGGCCAGGATCTTGATCCACAACGTTCATGACGTTACCACCTGTCGTAACTCATAAGTTTATCATAGGCTTATGACTATTGCAGCGCTACATGCGTTTTGTGGATCGGGACCCAGACATTCCTGCCACAAGGTCAGACAGAAATTCCTGCCACAAGGTCAGTGGGAACTTCCTGTCACATGATCAGTGGGAACTTCCTGTCACATGATCAGTGGGAACTGCCTCAAATGTGGTCTGAGGAACATCCTCTTACCTTGTTTGAGGGACTTCCCAGATAGCATTCGAACATTGGCCCAACGTTGGCAATGTTGGCAAAACCATTGCCAACATTGGGCCAACGTCTGAATGCTATCTGGGCTGTTGTTGGACCATATGGAACTTCTTTACACATGGTCTGGGATTCGTCAGCTATGTCTAACTTGGTAACTATGGACGGACATTACATATAGTTTCCAATCAGAATGAATTTTCTCAAATATATGCTTAGTATTTGCAATGTTTTTACAAAATGTTTTGACGTGCCTTTTCCACAAGTTAACATAAGCAAAATATAATCCTCAGAACACACACATACCCCCATCTGCTGTGTCATGTGTTTCAGAAATATTGAAAATACATACATTTTTCCATTTGCAATTCATGTTTGAGGCATAATCCTTAATTGTCAAGTATTTACCTTCAGGAATGCATTAAAGATGTTTATAATTGACACATGGTCTCCTTCTTCACAGGAGAACCTTCTCTTGGCTTTGTCCTGGAACAATCGATGATGCACAAATTCAAACAATTTTGCATTGATAGAATCAGTTTTTGATCATCTGACAGCCAATCATAAAACCAGATACAGCTGTTTTACATCACAAAAATCTTCATTACAACAATACAAATAATACAACTAAATGGTTCTGGACCAGATAAACCAGAGGTTGACAGCATGAGCAACTCTATATGGCATTGGGAGACAATCACAGTTGTGGCCAACATGCCTGGAACCAATCACAAGAAATAGGGGGGTGAAGTGCAACAATCTATGTTACAGTCTACAAGTGTTGGCCTTTACAACAAGCAGAATGTCCTTGGGACCAACTCTAAATACAGACACACAAAGCATGTTGTCTTGATACAATACAAAGTCATCTGAGTTTAATTTCCACTTCTGATCAAGTCGATTTGATGGATGAATAGATGATATATAGTACATACCATTTTTATTTTCTTCCCCGATGGAGTGACAAACACGTTCTGAATTTGCGTCATGGCTGCTACAGTAAGCGCCTCCTCGGAACACTCAAACTCTCCTGCAACACAAGGGTCCATCACTCTAAAAAGGTCTCCACAGTATTGAAAACCATTTGTGCACACATTCTTTATTGAAGACCATGACTTTGTAGGTGTGTTGAAGTAATACCACTCTATGAATGAGGGCATACAGGCTATCTCTGACAAACAAAATTCACTTCATGTTTGTTTGTTAATTTGATCCCACACTCAGCAATATCCTAGCTATATGATGGTGTTTTGAAAGTAATCAAGACAATCGAATGACTGACATCACAAGCATTAATCTATGCAGTTGGGATACATCAGGAGTTATATGATGGTTTTACTAACCCAGTGTAATAGTGTTAGCAGGCCAAAGGTTCGGGTGAAGCTGCTCATCCTGGCTGGTGGGGTAGCCTTGTGGTTAAAGCGTTCGCTCACCACGCCGAAGGCCCAGGTCCTATTCCCAAAATGGGTACAAAGTGTAAATCCCATTTCTGGTGTCCCCCGCAATGGTATTGCTGAAATATTGCTAAAAGGGGCATAAAACCAAACTCACTCACTCACTCACTCATCCTGGCAGAGCTAGGGGAGACAACTCTTTACAGAGCTGTGAAGGTGTAATGTCCTACCTGACACCAGCAGCATCTTGGCAAACATGGGGGACAGGGGGAACTCCGCCATCTGTAGACCCAGGGGGGATGTCAAGTTGCCATTGTCATCAAGGGCTGAGGAAAGAATTAACACAGTAACACTTATCACTGAGTGATATGTTTGCTTTCATTAGTATCCTGGTGTCATCAGTTTTCACCAACTTCTTATAAAATACAGATGAATATTACAACAGTTATAACATTGTAATTGCATACAGTTAATGTAATTTCTTTAATGTTTAATTTGAAAGTCTATGAAGCGAAAGTCTACATCCATCACTTCTAAAATTCCGTGACACTTTAGCTCACTGGCTAGCTATTTACATCCACTGAAGCTGGCACAAGCCATGTGATTTTCTGCTAGCCAATATCAACACCAGCCAGACAATCTACCACTTAGGTTTTTGACAGTATAAAAGTTTTAAAATAAGATTATTTTGTAGCGGGGAGTTATGTCTTAATGTCGTGTTTCAAATTATATAATGTAACATGATTCTGAAAATGTTGTCACTGGAGAGTGATTGTTGACAGACAAGCTAATTGTGAGGTCACAACCCTGGCAAACAGGCAACAATCAAAACATTGTGATACAATGACACATTATCAATCAGGTCACATGGCTGGACCACTTGACTTGTTTGTCTTAGGGCTGCATGAAGGAGAAATTTTAACTTGGACAAAAGATGACACAACAGACTGACCTCCGAGAGCATACAACAGCTCCAAGCCCCGTAGCATGTTCTGTGCTGGCGGAGCCTATCAAGGAAACAGTATTTCACACACACATTTAACACGCGAAGGACAATTGTTATAATGCTGTCCACTTGGATCTCTACAATTGCCTATCTTAGTTTGAATATTTAAAGAACTTAAAGATGTCCGAGATGTTTTTATGGATTAAACTTCTTTTTCATTTTCCTCATGATGTTTCGGGACCATTCCAGGTCCCTTCATCAGGTGAACCTGATCGACGTTTCGGGACCATTCCAGGTCCCTTCATCAGGTGAACCTGATCGACGTTTCGGGACCATTCCAGGTCCCTTCATCAGGTGAACCTGATCGACGTTTCGGGACCATTCCAGGTCCCTTCATCAGGTGAACCTGATCAACGTTTCGGGACCATTCCAGGTCCCTTCATCAGGTGAACCTGATCGACGTTTCGGGACCATTCCAGGTCCCTTCATCAGGTGAACTGACAGTTGAGGGAATGGTCCTGAAACGTCGTGAGGGAAATAAAAAAGAAGTTTAATCCATAAAAATATCCTGGACATCTATATATACAACTTCTATATGCCACCGAAAGACATAAAACTTGAAGATGTCTGAAGGATTGTATGAAAAAAGGTTTCTTAGGAATGCACAATATTTCATTCACAAATTTTGAATTACGATTATATTCTTTCTAAACTCAGATTTAATGAGTCGACACTAAGATGCATGTAAAAGCTGTTGGTGAGATGAACTAACAATTCCAGATGAAATTCTTACTTAATATTTGAACCTGAAAAATATAAAAATCACAAATCATATCATCAAATAACAAGTAAGTAACATTTCTTTCATCGAAAATTATGCTGAAACATACTTGCTGCAAGTATTTTCCAAGGTTTGCTCAAATCTAAAGATATGAAATATTTCTTGTGATAAAAAGCGGCACAATGACATTCAGTGAAACCAAGTCACCACTTGATCCATTAGGTCACCACTTACAAGAAGCTTAGTTTTCTTGGGATGCATTGTAACACAAGATCCCGAGAGCACAAATGCATCTCGGCTTAATATTTCCCTCAACAAATAGTTATATGTCTGTGCCACACAAGTGCCGCCATGACTGTGACTCACCGACAGGAAGTGGAAGCGGAGGACGTTGGAGATGCTGAGAGCCTTGAGCTGCAGGATGATGGGGGCAAGGTCACTCCGCTGCATCTCAGCAACTGTTGAGTCCGGCAGACCATCATAGGCTGTTTCTAGACACGCCACAAACAGACAATAGTACCATGTTTATCTCACTCTTCTTTCCGGTTTCTCGGAACACGACAAATGCAGACATTGATACTACTTTCTCCATTCTCTTAATACACCAAAGATACCAAAGATGCTAAACATAATAAGATTTGGAGAATTACAAATTAAGTAAATTATAGCTAGGCAACAGTGTGGCAACCTGACATGTTGTCCTTGAGAAGAACATTTTCCAAACACTTAATTTAAAAAATGAATACTCTCTCAGACCTTTACAACAAAAATATAGAAACCTTATGTACAAAATACATTACATTCTTCATTATTCAAATTCTAATTGTACTTTGACTGCACTTTCCACCTCTATCTATTGCACCACCACTTTCTATTATAATACATGTATCCATACTATATGAAATGAAGTACTAGTACTAATACTTGAATAGTACTACACTAACAAATGTAGCCATACCACTACGTACCTAGATCCCACCTAGTTCACACCAAGACCGCCTCCGTGGTGTAGTGGTTAGAGCGTCCGACCGGAGGGCGGAAGGTTGTGGGTTTGATCCCCGACCGCGTCATACCAAAAGACGTTAAAATATGGTACTTGTTGGTCCCTGCCTGGCGCTCAGCATTAATGGGTACAACAAGGACTGGTCAGCTCGGAGTCAGTATAATGTGTCTGAGTGGGGTATTCATGCTTCACTGCGGCATGGTATCTCAGTGGGCTAGCACTATAAAACCAGCTTAAGTCTGGGCTAGTACAAGCAGCCGCACATACACATACACACGCGTGCACGTCGTCATATGAGCGAAATATTCTCAAGCACGAAGTTAAACCCAATTTCACCTCACCTCATCTAGTTCACACCACACAGTTGTGTACTCCTGTAGTTGGACACACCTACCTGTGTACAGTCTGTAGGCCTTCCCAGCTCGTACACGTCCGGCTCTCCCTGCTCTCTGATTGGCTGAAGCCTGGGACACTGGCACAATCACCAGGGACTCTGGAGGTGTGATAAACACATTAGTACACCATACACAGGGTTGTGGAATACACTAGCATTGTTCCTCACTCATACACATTAATTAAATTTGATAGGAAATTATTGTGTTCATATTGACAGTTGAAATATGTTCAAGTTCTATCTTAGGCTAACATAGTACATACTGCAGGCCAAGTTCTTCTTTCTCAATGTTTTCATTACTCTGAAATACAGGATGTGTCTCTGTCCATGTTTGTGTGTTTTGTTTAACACTAATCAATATAGCAACTTTACGCCAAGTCAGGAACAGACATTTAAGTGTTGGACAATGTGAGCAACAGTGCACTCTGTCTGATGCATGTATGATATCCCGCTGCCTTGGACACTCAAGTCTAACACTGGATTGCCTGGGTATTCACAGATCTAGGCATATAGCTTATACAGCTTGAGTGAGTGAGTGAGCATGATTTTCTGCCACTTCTAGCAATATTCCAGCAATATCACGACGGGGAACACCAGAAATGGACTTCACACATTGTGCCCATGTGGGGAATCGAACCCAGGTCATCAGCATGACAAGCAAACGCTTTAACCATTTGTCTACCCCACCGCCCCACATAGAGCTTGAATAGCTGGAGAGGAATGCTTAAAACAAACAAAGAATCTGCTGAGCAAGATATACTGGAACATTCTGATGGGTGTTATACCGGACTTACCAATACCAGAGGTGGGATTGTAGGCCTTTATCTTCACAAAACCACAGTCGACAACTGTAATATATAGAGCACAGTCACTAATGGCACAATGAGACGAAAGTAGGATTTACGCCACTGTGAATGGAATATTAGTAATATATTGTCGCATAAGAGATAAGCCTAATGATTCACAGATTTTAACTCTTTGGTGAAACACTGGTTTGAAGCCGACAAACCAAACATTGAGGCTATCGTCTGTTTGCGGTGAAAACGTACCGATGAATTTCACTCTAAACGACAAGGTAAATCAAATAAATTGAAAATAAGATTGCGAATCCTCATAATTTTACCTTGCCAATTGAACATTCAAATCTAAGAATTTTATTCACCTTAGGATAAAAGTTGTTTAACAAACGATCATAATTTCAAATCGCTATTATTGGTTTGTATTACAAGGGGGTATGCACTTTAAATGAAACACCGAGAACAAGTAGTGTTGGTTTAAGTTAACGCTCATCACGTACCGCACATGCATTTGTTTCACTGTCCCATCTACTGCGCTTACGCCCTGTAATACAAACCAATAATAGCGATTTGAATCTATGATCGTTTGTTAAACAACTTTTATCCTAAGTTCAATAGAATTTTGAGATTTAAATGTTCAATTGGCAAGGTAAAATTATGATGATTTGCAATCTTAATTTCACTTAATTTGATTACCTTTTTGTTTAAAGTGAAATTCGAACTAACCTGTAGAGGTTTCAGATTCTTTGAATATATTCCTCATTGGGGTACTTATAAGCATTTAAATGTCCATTTAAATTCCCTACGACAGTTGTAACAATATTTGAATAAAAATATTTACAAAACAAAAACTACGTTTTGTCTTGTGAGACCACCCTTACAGGGCCCTCCGGCCCCCTACAGCCAAGAGCAGGTAACTCTAGACCGTAACCTCGTACCTCACTTTCCATGCTGAACTACGTCAGACAGAATGTGGGGAGGTGGGTGGGCATACCCCAAGGAGGAATATATTCAAAGAATCTGAAACCTCTACAGGTTAGTTCGATTCTTTTTTATATATTCCTCCTTGGGGTACTTATAAGCATAAGACAGACTCCTAAAGACTGAGCGAAGGAGCGGCATTCTGTCTGCAGAAAACACCCCCGACAAGAAGTGGAATTTCCCAAGCTAAATATAGCAGAAAAAGCACACTTACCCGGTCACGTGTCCACCATAGCCAATCAGGCGGGGGCATGAGCCAAGGTCAGGGTCGAACTTATGTAAATTGCCCAGCGAAACCTCGCTAATGCAAACTAACGAGACACACCCTCCCTCCCTCCCGTAATCTACTCGGAAGCGAAGATAAGGGGTCCCACAAGCAACCCAGAAACGAAATGTCCGGAATATGAACAGCAAAGTTTCCAAGGCCAGTTAAGTCTAGAGCGGAATGCAAAAGACATGGGAATAAAAAATATCACCACATAAAACCCATCACCACGGGAAAATGTCACAAGATTTTTAAAACCCAACACCAGTGTTAAAATATTGGCAGAGAATGGTTCACACAATAAAATCCTCGAAAGCTCAATCGGCTAGAGAGGTGGAACCATGCCCACTGGAGAGAACTGACTGACCGAACCGAGCACGCTCACTGGAGAGTCTGTCAAGTTGGTAATGACGGATGAACGTACTCGGACGGCTCCAAATAGCCGCTGAGCAGATCTCCTCAATGGGCAAGGCTGCAGCGTAAGCTTCCGATGTAGCAACAGCCCTAACCGAATGAGCTTTCAGCCCAACAGGCGGGATACGCCCTGTTTGAGTATAGCTCGTATGTATGGCAGAGACAAGCCACCTAGAAATGGTGGGCTTGGTCGCTGGAAGACCAGCCTGAACCCCGCCATAACAACAAAACAATTCGGAACCCTTATGGGTACCCCTTGTTCGCTTGATATAAGCCTTAAGGGTCTTACGGACATCTAAGACGTGAGCACGTCGTAGAGAGGTACCGGACGGGGGAAGGCTGAGTGAAAGCTGGGAGCTCAATAGGCGCCGTCACATGGAAGGGACTATCCTTCTTAGGACGGTAAGTATCAGGCAGCCGTATGCTAACTCTGTCTTTGTGAAAAACAGTAAGCGCGGGATCGGCCGACATTGCGTGAATATCGCCAACCCGCCTGCCTGAAGTCACCGCCACAAGAAACGCCGTCTTCCACGTCAACAGCTGGAGTGAAAGAGCCGACAGATTGTGAAACAGTGGACCGGACAGCCAATCAAGAACGATTGACAAGTCCCACGGGGGACTAATCCGCCGGACAACCGGACGGATTCTGTCCACGCCTGCTAAAAAGCACTGTACAAGAGGGTGCTGCCCCAAGAGAGCACCGTCAACAGGAATATGAAACGCAGAAATAGCCGTAGAATATCCCCGAACAGTGGAAGCCGCTAGACCGGCTTCCAACCGAGACTGGAGGAATTCTAACACAGAGACTAAATCTGTAGAAAAGGGATCAAGAATCCCTCTGTTGACACACCAGCGTGAATGACAGGCCCATCTATCCTCATATTGAACGTTTGTCGAATCCCTCCGCGAAGCCAGAATTGTGTCCGCAACTGGTGCAGGAATTCCGCTCGCACGGAGGCGATCCCGGACAGCGGCCAAGCCACCCACTGAATCCTGGGATTCGGGTGGGGCGCTCCGTTCTGGGATAGGAGGTCCGGTCGAAAAGGTAATAGAACAGGAGGCTGAGCCAGAAACCTGAGAATTACCAGAAACCAACTTTGTGCCGACCAAAGGGGTGCCAGAAGCACAAGGAGCCGAGCTGGTTGTGCGGTCAGCTGTGACAGGACCCTGGAAATCAGTGGTATCGGGGGGAACGCCCACAGTACCCTGTCCGTCCAATCGAGCTGAAAGGCGTCGTTGGCTAACGCCCTCGGATCCGGAATCCGAGAGCAAAACACAGGAATCTGGTTCGTCACCCCAGACGCAAACAGATCCACCTGGGACGACCCGAACAACAGGGAGATAATCCCGAATATCTCCCGGTCGAGCATCCACTCGTGTGGGGCTAGTATACGCCGTGAGAGTGCATCTGCACGGACGTTGTCTACCCCCGGGAGATAAACAGGCAAAACCCGAATGTTGAACTGATCGCACCGTAGTAGAAACTGCCACGCCTCCTGAAGGAGCGACGGAGACACTGTGCCGCCTTGCTTGAGAATGTAAGACATGGCCGTTTGATTGTCCATTTCTAGACGAACCACACGGCCCTGAACCAACACCCGGAAGCACTCGAACACCCTGCGGACTGCTCTCAGTTCTAACACAATGATGTGCAGGCAGACTTCCTGCTCCGACCAACGGCCGGAGGCTGAGTGCTCGCCCAGGATCCCCCCCCAACCTGTGAGGGAGGCGTCCATCTGAACCGAGAGGGAAGGTGTGGGGGTGTCTAGGGGGAGCCCCCTGGACAGATTCCCGACGTCCGTCCACCATCGCAAGTGAGGAATTAACCACTCTGGCGTCATGAGAAGAGTCTCGTAGCTCTGCGAGTGGGACCACAGCTGAGCTAACGCTTGCTGAACTGGTCGCATCCTCAAGCGCCAAGACGCCAAACCACGTCCACTGTCGACGCCATGTTGCCTAGCAACCGAAGCCATGTTCGGGCCGACGCAACGGGGGACTGTAGGAACAGTAACACAGTCCTTTGGACTTTGACGATGCGGTCAGGAGCAAGGGAAACAATCCCTAGCTCCGTGTTGAATCTGGCCCCCAAGAATATCAGATCCTGCGTCGGAACGAGGTCTGATTTCTTGAGGTTGATAATCCAGCCCAGTGACACCAGAGTATCCATCACGCACAGTGTGGAGGCTCTGCTTAACTGAGGCCCTAAGGCCCTGAGAAGCCAATCCTCCAGGTACGGGTGACAACACCTGCCCCGAGACCTGGCTAACTGAGCTGGGATTAGCATACGTTTGGTGAACACCCTTGGCGCCGTGGAGATGCCGGAGGGGAGCACGCGAAACTGGTAGCATGTCCCGTCGAAGGAGAACCTGAGGTACTTCTTGAATTCGAGGTGCATTGGAACATGGAGGTAAGCGTCTTTGAGATCGATTGACGTAAGCCAATCCCCTGTCTCGACGGAGGAGATCGCTGACCTGAGTGTCTCCATCCTGAAAGACGGCACCTCCAGTAACTTGTTCAGCCCTCTGAGATTCAGAATGGGTCTGAACCCTCCGTCCTTTTTGGTCACGAGGAAGTAGGTGGCATAAAACCCCTCTTCTTGCTGACTCACAGGAACCACCTCGATGGCCGCCTTGGTCAGTAAAGACTGAACCTCGCCACGGAGGACTTCCGCCTTGTCGCGGGAGGTCGGCACAGGCGTGTGCCGAACCCCGGAGAAGGACGGAGGATCTCGCCTCCACTGTGGCAAATGGCCATCCCTGAGCGTGGACAGGACCCAGGGATTTGAGGTGGCTGCCTCCCACTCCCGGAGTAATAGGGGCAGCCGGCCGCCGACAGGGACGTGTGGCAGGAGGCAGTGCACCCCCACAGTCGGCAAGTCTCCGCTTGCGTTAGTGGGGGGCAACAAGGGCTCTGGGGAAGGAATCAGCGGGAAGCTGGGGCTGGCTTCCCCCTGCCCCGAAAAGGCTGCTGCGCTTGAGCAGGCTTGCCCTTGCCTCTTGCGCGCCTGCTCCGCTTGGACTGCAAAGGGGCAGTCCACTTAGCAACATCCTTCGCAGGGGCAGAAGGATAAGCGGACGCAAGCGAGGCATGCACACCACCGAATGCTATCCCTAGCCAGATGCGAGTGTACGTCCGTGAGCTGTCGCGCGAGCACCGACTCCGATGAGTCGGCACCACAAGCGCTGTGAGCCACCAGCTGTCCCTGCAGTGCAGACAGGTAGGCCGAGTGGACTGCTACTTTGAGTTGCTGGGCTGCGCACCGGTAACATTCCTCGAATGACCGGTACGCAGACTTCAGCGGCAGTGAATTAGCAGGAAAAGGGGGGAGGCGCCTGCCCTGCCTGGCCGAGGCCAGGGAAGACGAGGACGACCCCCCTAACGTGACTGAGGCAAAGACGCACTCGTCCACCACTGGTGGTTCGAATAGCGTCTCCTCACCTAACTGGTACCGCCTGCCGACGTCAGGCAAATCAAAACGCGAGCGAGTACCAGTCAGGAGAGGATTCACCACCTCACTTACCAGTGATGGGAGAATGCGTAGGCGTGCCTCGTCGACCCAGCTAGGCGCGAACGCCTCCCCCGGGAGCCGAAACTCCGCGGGGTCTGGCGCCTGAAAGGGAACAGCCACCTGCGGCAGGACTCCGGCGAGCTTATCCTGAACCTGCCGCAGGGACGGGGCAAAGGAGTACGGCACTCCCGCCTCCGACTCCTCTCTCCCTTCTTCATCCTCCATATCTACCTCGGCATAATCCTCGGCCGCCATACTCTCAGACTCCTGAGAGACCGCCGAGGAGACGCCAGAGGCAGGACCAGAAAGACTCATAAGGTCAAGAGGCGCCAGAGGAAAAGCATCGCCCTGCCGGCCGGAACCCGCGCCAGGTCGCCGAGGCGCCCGAGAGGAACCTGCCGCAACAGGCTTCCCGGGCAACCCAGACTGGCTGCCAGGCGCCGAGGTATCCCCAAGCTGGTCGGCTCCTAGGCGACCGCCAGTCGGAACACCAGGCAACGACAGGGGCAAACCTGTATCGCCGGCGCCAGGCACCTGTGACAGACCAGAGCATGAAGCCAGGTCGCCACCAGACGCCGAGGGCGCGCTATCCCCACGGCCTAAGCCGGGATCAAGCCGCCCGGGGGGAGGCGCGTTCTCCGAGCCGAGGCTCGGGCCGCAGCCAACCCCCCAAGATGTGTCAGATCCACCCCCGACGACCGGCGCGCTGAGCTCCTTACGGAACCCTGCCAACGCCATATCGATCAGGGACTTTACTGAGGACATCTGCTCCTGAAATAAAGCGGTTAAGGAATCAACAGGAACTACTGGTGTTGAAGCAATAGGGGGGGTGGCGGCAACAGAGACGGTAGCAGTAGGAGAGGCAGAAGGGGCATGCGTGCGTGCAGACGAAGCCTCCTTGGTCACCTTAGCTTTCTTGGGAGCCGGCTCTGTATGGGAAGCGGCTCCCGCAGACCCCTTTTTTTGACTATGGGAGCGCTTGGACGGGGGATCCTGCCCAGATATCATCCCCCGCCCGAAGCAGGTTGCTGTAGAACAGCCGGTCTACCCGCCGTGCCCGAATGGTTTGGGGCGTGAAAATAGCACATGCCGAACACCCCTCTTCCTCATGATCAGCCTGCACTAGACAGCGTAAACACACCTTGTGTATCCCGTACGGGAATGGCCGCAAGGCACAAAGTACAGGATTTAAACTGCAACAAGTAAAAAACCTGTGCAGCAATCTACCCCATACCCACATACATATACATGAAAAAACACGCATGGGCCACACAACTAATGCGACTAACGTAGCATACAGTTGACAATAACCATAATACACACTGCAACATAACTAACTATTACGACTTTTAGCGTAAGATAGAAAATGCTAGCAGCGGACATACGCCCTACACGTACAAAAGATAAATGAAAAACCACTAAAACCACCTGTAACATTGAGAAACCACATGGGAAACCAATAAACAGGAAGGCTAGCGAAGGGACCTGTCCGCCATCTTGACACGCACCTGGCGAGCCGACCGCGACAGGTACCAAGTTACAACTAGAAATTATGAATGAAAAAGTTCAGAACAAGCCTCCAAATCGCCCATGCAGGGAAAAAAAGGAACCATACATACAGTTGCTGTGTCTGAGCCACTCATAATATTTCGTTGGGAAAAGAACTTTCTTGTAATGGACCCACGTCCTTGTCGGGAAACGACAGCATGGAAAGTGAGGTATGAGGTTACGGTCTAGAGTTACCTGCTCTTGGCTGTAGGGGGCCGGAGGGCCCTGTAAGGGTGGTCTCACAAGACAAAACGTAGTTTTTGTTTTGTAAATATTTTTATTCAAATATTGTTACAACTGTCGTAGGGAATTTAAATGGACATTTAAATGCTTATAAGTACCCCAATGAGGAATATATAAAAAAGAATCATCGGTACGTTTTCACTGCAAACAGACTATAATTGGGGATTCAAACCTGATACACGTGGATCTTGAGATAACAAAGGGAAGCAACTCCACAAAGTGATATGTTGCTTTAGGCCAATGACTGGTTGCATCTACCTCCTGACTTACTATAAACGATGCCGTTGATGGTAATGGAGGTCTCAGCAATGTTTGTTGCCACAACAATCTTCCTGACGTAACGAGATGTCCTCTCAAAAACCTTCATCTGGAACAATAACATTTTGCGGTACTGTCGGACAAATTAATGAGAGAAATCAGAGGTTTAAACTTTGATCGACTACTGTTCCTATTTCTGATATCATATCAGTGGGATATCCTCCTGGTACAAGATATATGGACATGCTGCGTGGCTGATTATATGTCGTTGTACCCCAATGCCACTGATGGTTCTCATGCTTTAGTTACAGGGCATGGAGTCATCCTGCTGAAGACATCCTCACCTTGCCAGCCTGATGACTGGGTTAAAGTCCGGGGCCCAAACCTCAAAACCACGGCCTTTAACCTCTTTGGTCAGTGGGCAAGGCTCAAACCTTGGATCAGAAGGTTTGTTTTTCAAATCTCATCATGAGATGTCCTGGTCAGACTTTTTTCTTTTTTTTTTTATTGGTCAGACTTACATCGTATACTGCTGACCTCCACAATCTTCACTCACTCACTCACTCACTATCTCCCATTCACACACTCAGTTTAATTTCATTAATACACCCTGTGCAGTGGGCATATCCCAAATGGCTTACAAGGTATATCAGCCTGGGGATATAACAAAGACATTGCAACAGTCCCTTGCTGTTAAAATTCACCACATATTACTGTATGTGTAACAAGAAATGATACTGTACATGAAAATCAGGTTCTTGACGTCTGCTCACCTGTTCTGACGCTGGCAGACTTCCATGCATGGGCAGTACTTTCATCTTCAGGTCATCTTTCTTCAACTTCTTTGCTTCATCGCTGTAACAGAATCCTGTTGCTATACAAATCCACCAATGAGTTAGTTAATGAAGCAGACTTCATGCCCACCTATCAATGATAAAACAACAGACAAATCACTGGTCTGTAACTAGCCGTTTTTAGCAATATTCCAGCAATATCATGGCGGGGAGCACCAGAAATGCGGTTCACACATTGTACCCATGTGGGGAATCGAACCCAGGTCTTCAGCGAAGACGAGCGAATCCTTTAACCATTAGGCTACCCCACCACCGAATAAGCAATGTACTGTATCTCCATTCTCTCACATACCATGGACCCATTCACCACCATAGCTTTTCAAATGTCCCATCGACATGATGCTAAAAAATAGCCAACCAATGAAATGCCTCTGTTCTGTTCTGCCACATCTAGTAGGCTGTCGGAAAAAACACTTGCATTGCAAGTTTGGTAGCAAGTAATTTCCCATCCCCTGTCCTTACCCTAGGAATATATTTGTTGGGTTCTTTAAAGAACGACATGACATGAGAAAAGAGAGAATTTGTTCGTTGTCACTTGACTGGACATTGTACTCGTACCTCGACACTGGCATCGAACAGGAAGTCACAGTTTGCTCAAAATAATGTTACAGTGTTACTATAGAAACCAGTATTGCTGACTTGATCGCTACACATACAATGTACTAACAGGAAAACTCACATCAACATTGACACCACTCTCTGTACTTCTTCCTGGAAAAGAAATAAAATAAAACACTAAATATCTCCCTTTCACATTTGGGTCTACCCAAGTCCCCGATGTATTTTTTTACAAACTGCAGGTAATGATATACAAGTAAAACCACAGAATTGTCTGATAATGACATACTGGTAAAACCACTGATGACAATACACAGGTAACACTGACTCACCTGGCCTGTGAGGAAAGCTAAGACATCTCCTGCAGGTTGATTGAAGTGAATCTTCATCACAGTCTCCACAGTGGCCTTCAGATAGTCAGGGTGGGGACTGAAACGCATTTCACACATTTCTTTATCATACACGCTGGGTCAGCTACTCCTATCACACTATTGAGGGGCTGGGGTAGAGCAGATACTGACATTACTGATGAATGACAAAGTGTGCACAGTGGCATTCTGGGGCCCAATTCACCGTGGAAACACCAATAAATAATGGAATAATGAGGTCATATGATTCCACAGAAACTGAACAGGATGACAAGCACAGGCTACTGAAGACCTGGGCCCCGCTGGGAAACTCAACCACAAACAAGTATGGCTTACTGAGGTCTTCTCCTGGAAACCCCACCAAGAACAAGCATGGGCGACTGAGATTCTGCCTGGAAACCCACTGGGAACAAGCATATGCATGGGCGACTGAGATTCTGCCCCTCCCTGGACACCCTAACACGGAACAAGCACTTACTCAAGCAGGTAGTGGACATCTACAGGGAACTCTCGACCTTCCACAGTCAGTATGGTAGCTGTGTCATTTCTGAAACATAGCATATACACGTACATGACAAACACAATTAAGTAAAGTCAGTGTATTCTTTTAAAAGCTCACTTGTCATATATCATGACATGGTAAGCTAGTCCATTTGGAAGTGGTTAATTCTGCAGTTAACACAAACTCACTTAAAAGATCACCATTTTGATATCAAATAACTACACATAAACAGCACAATTCTGTTAATCTGGACTGTTGGCGCAGTTCTCACTGGATTAACAAGTTTCAGTGCCTTGAGCATGCACTAGTGCGTTAATATGTGCGCTATATAAATATCCAATAAAAAAATAACAGTAGCTATTGGCAGTCTAAAAACATAACCAAACACGTTCAGTATCACCATGGTTACTTACAGTGGCTCTTCTGTCTCATTGCTGTTGAAGAAATCTCTCATTTCCTGCAAGAAACATAATACAGAGTAAGCACTATATGGTTGGGTGCATGCATGCACGACCACTTGCAATGAGGTGAGGTGAGGTGAGGTGAGGTGAGGTGAGGTGAGGTGAGGTGAGATTTAAGAATATTTCGCTCATATGACGACGTGCATGCGAGTGTATGTGTGGCTGCTTGTACTAGCCCAGACTTAAGCTGGTTTTATAATGCTAGCTCACTGAGATACCATGCTGCTGTTAAGCATGAATACCGTACTCAGAAACATTATACTGACACTGAGCCAACCAGTCATTGTTGTATCCATTAATGCAGAGCGCCAGGCAGGGACTTTTAACGCTTTTTCGTATGACGCTGCTGGGTATCGAACCCACAAGCTTCTGCTCTCTGGGCGGACGCTCTTACCACCATACCACGGAGGCGTGAGTGAACCACGGAGGCGTGAGTGAGTGAGTGAGTGAGTGGGTGGGTGAGTGAGTGAGTGAGTGAGTGAGTGAGTGAGTGAGTGAGTGAGTGAGTGAGTGAGTGAGTGAGTGAGTGAGTGAGTGAGTGAGTGAGTGAGTGAGAGTGCACAGCTTTTCACATCCTCGATAATCTCCAGGGTATACGTTACGATCACTCTCCACTATACCCTGGATGCATCCACGGCTTGGCCCGATGATTTTATTACCTCCCTTGGCTGGCTTTTTATCTGATCAGGTGTCTACGCTGGGAAGTTGAGTGAACCAATCACAACTCATTTTCGCTTCTTAAATTATCTAACCGTTTAAACTTGGCAACACAATTGATGCAGAGGGTAATCTGAAAGATGTGGAAGGAGTTCTTTTATATATTTTTTGAAAGTTTCAGATCTGTCAATTTGTCTGCATTATTTCTCCAAAAATCTGAGTGGTACTGCAAACAAACCTTTGCGACTGCGACCGCTATCTTTGTTGACACTGGCAAGCTCGGATGTAACGGCAGCTTAGCTGATTGGCTACTGTGAGAATGCAGAGCCAGCAAAGGGAGGTAATATAATTATCGGGCCAAGCCGTGGATGCATCCAGGGTATAGTGGCGAGTGATCGTAATACTCCTGTCATTTTGTGAGGTGAGGTGAGGTCAAATTTAACGTCGTGCTTGAGAATATTTCACTCATATGACGGCGTGCATGCGTGTGTATGTGCGGCTGTTTGTATTTGCCCAGACTGAAGCTGGTTTTATACTGCTAGCCCACTGAGATACCATGCCGCAGTGAAGCATGAATACCCCACTCAGACACATTATACTGACTCCGAGCCGACCAGTCCTTGATGTACCCATTAATGCTGAGCGCCAGGCAGGGACCAACAAGTACCATATTTTAACGTCTTTTGGTATGACGCGGTCGGGGATCGAACCCGCGACCTTCCGCTCTCTGGGCGGACGCTCTAACCACTACACCACAAAGGTGGTCTAGTCATTTTGTGTGTTCATAAATGGAGTGTAGAGCAGAATGAGCAGGTGCTTCTACCACTGGGCTACCTCAGCACATATTCAGTAATAAAAGACCACCACAGTAAATGGCAACACACCCACAGATACCTACCTCCGCATTCAACGTGGCTGATGCAACAATCACTTTGAGGTCATTCCGCTTCCTTTGAATCTAAGAGAAAACAAATATCAATCTCAGATGAACAAATACATCACATGAAGAATGAGGTCTATATTATTGGATATACAACTTCAGTGGTCAACCACTTGTTTGACAATGACATAGATTAGAAACTAAACGTTGCCTATACAGAATATAAAAGGTTGTATACCATTAAAATAGTCCTCATTCTTCATGTACCCAACTTTAGAATGCCAATCAAAGAAGAAATACATCACAGTCATGTTCATGACATACGTGAGTGATTGAGTGAACTAGTCTTGTTCAAATGTCCATTTAAACTGTATTTCAGTCATATTACAGCATGTATGTATGATGTGGAACAAAGACTTGACGTGATACAGGTCTTAGACTGACTGACTGAGTTTCGTTTTACCCCGCTTTTAGCAATATTCCAGCAACATCACGGCGGGGGACACCAGAAATGGGCTTCACACATTGTACCCATGTGGGGATTCGAACCCGGGTCTTCAGCGTGACGAGCCAACGCTTTAACCACTAGGCTACCCCGCCGCCTCACAGTTCTTAGAAGTTCACGACTTTTGGTAAAAGCAGCACCTCGTTGAAACTGAAGTGTGTTGTCAATAGTGTCAATGGTTCGTCATTGTTGCCGTCCACTTTCAAAATAGTTGTAAGCATGAGTAACAATGAGACTGATGTAGAACATCCACTGAGTGAGCTAGATGTTGACCACATGTAGGTGAAACCCATGGGTCTGAGAAAGGAAGAATCATTATCAGGGTGAACTGTATGCATAAGTAACAATGAGCCAGGATTAAACCCAGGATCAAAGGTTACTGCCATGTTCAAGGACCACCACATGATCTTAGGTTACTGGCATGTCTAAGGCAGGTAACTCTGCTTCACCAACTCTTGCAACAACTGCAGTCTGCTGTAAATCCTGATCACATTACAGTACCAGTAAACAGGTGCTTTCCCCACCTTACGGAGCAGCCCCAGGAGAATGTCAGTGTTAATGCTTCTCTCATGTGCTTCATCCACCATCACGATGCTGGAACAGAGGACACGCTTAAGAAATTATCGCTGCCCCAAATAACTCAATCAGATTTTTCTTAGTAACATGAAATATGAATTTAACTCATTTGCCCTGTGTTTAGCATGCACTTTGTATTCTGTACTAAGAACAAATCAAGAGACTATTTTCTATTTTTAATCAAATTATTCCCTTTGTTTCAGGTTTTAGAAAATTTCTTTCAGATTTTGTTTCTGTGAGAGTGTCCTATATTTGTTGTAAGTTTCACTGACTTCAAGCAGTATTAATGGTTGTTTCTGTGAGAGTGTCCTATATTTGTTGTAAGTTATTGTTATTGCTGTTTCAGATAAATGAAAGTTTTAAAGCAGTGATGGTTAATCTTGTCATTTATGTTTTTGGAATGTTGAGATATTTTCACCTTACAGTGGGTGGGTGGGTGGGTGGGTGAGTGAGTGAGTGAGTGAGTGAGTGGAGGAGTGAGTGAGTGAGTGAGTGAGTGAGTGAGTGAGTGAGTGAGTGAGAGTGCCAGAGTGAGTGAGTGAGGTGAGTGTGAGTGGGTGGGTGGGTGGGTGGGTGGTGAGTGAGTGAGTGAGTGAGTGAGTGAGTGAACAAATTTTACATTCCTTTAAGCAATATTCCAGCAAAATCACAGCAGGGGACACCAGAAATGGACCCTGCAATGATGACACATGTAATGCTCAGCATAAGTTGAGGAAGTAACGTGAGTATTAGAGCCCTTGTCTCTTTACTGGATCCTTTTATCAAGGAAGTACAAGAAACATAAAGTTGTCATTATAACATGGTGAATATGAGTTGGGAGTTTGGATTAACTAATTTCGGACTTTTTACAAACAGTTGCTGTAAACCTAATGACCTATGCTGGTGCTTAGGTAAGTACCTGCACTTTGCAGTCTTCAATCTATGGCTTAATGCTGTAAATGGTGACTAATCTTAGCATAATTTCCTCAAAATTTCAGATTGGACGCTCTATTTGCCACCACTTGGAGACAAATATACACCTATATTTTCGGCCCTTATATTGCTGGAATATTGCCAAGTGCAGTGTTAAAAATCAAACAAACCTGTATTTTCTCAGTAAAGGATCTTTCATTATTTCTCTTATCAGCATACCATCTGTGAGAAACTGAAACAGACAGGGAGCAGAAGGTCAGCTAGGAAACAACATGGATGTGTATCAAATAGGAACATTGGTGCAACAATGGATCATGAGTTTTTCATGAGAAAATATGATAAACAATAGTTGTTTATAATCAGCATAAAACTGTTTCATCCTACCAATATCCGTGTGGTGTTGGGATCGGAACAATCATCAAAGCGGATCATGTACCCTACTTCGTCCCCGAGCAGCGTGCCTCTCTCCTCCGCAATTCGGTCAGCAACCTGGTGACAGACATCACATAACCAGAACACTTTCAAAGGAATCCTTACTTTGGACACTGATCATACACTAAGGACCTACATCAGTGTATGAAATAAGCCAAAACTCCAGCCAGACATCAGGGCCGGTTACTTCAAAATGTTACCAGCCCAAAATGGATTTAACCAGACCAAATATGGTAATTTTACTCAGATGTATGGAACACCTAAAATTTTTACCAGACCATCGGGCAGGCTAGCTGTAAATTTAGACCGTCCGTCAGAAATCTAGCCCGTCTCGGGCGGTCAGATGGGCCTTATTTCATACACTGCCTACGTAATGAATTTGTTCTACATATTTTCTTGTTTTTCTTTTCAAATGAGGCTTTGTTAACAAAATTAATATAAAAGGCATGAATGGAACAATTCCTGGAAATGAAAAACTCGTAGCTCTAGTTTTCTCCTGACATCAACACAAAGTTCCTACCGTTACAGCAGCAACTCGTCTTGGTTGTGTCACAGCGATCACATGACCCTCTGCAGCCCACCCAGCCTCCAGCAAATACTGAAATAAAAGAGAGAATGACCTAGTTACTGCAATAAATGACCTAGTTACTGCAATGAATGACCTAGTTACTGCAATAAATGACCTAGTTAATGCAATAAATGACCTAGTTACTGCAATAAATGACCTAGTTACTGCAATAAAAGACAGGGTAACTGCAATGAATGACACAATTAATGCAATGAATGACACAATTAATGCAATGAATGACAGAGTTACTGCAATGAATGACCTAGTTACTGCAATAAAAGACAGGGTAACTGCAATGAATGACACAATTAATGCAATGAATGACACAATTACTGCAATGAATGACAGAGTTACTGCAATGAATGACAGAGTTACTATTCTTATAATAAGAATGGGTTTCAGAAGACTTTCACAGACTTAAGTCACTTTTCAAAAAAACAGATCAGTGTGGGTACGATGCAGCTAGGGTATGGTATCAGTTGACATGACGTGTTTGTTGAATGCTATTCTCCACCACACACAGGCAGTTCCCTGCACCTACCTGAGGTATTTGTGTGCTCTTCCCACTGCCTGTCTCCCCAATAATCACCACCGTCTGGTACCTCTCCACCAGATACAGGATATGACTCCTATGCTGAAGACAAAAGAAACATATCCAGTTCTAGAACATACTACAAAGAATACATTGTCAACATCTGACTTGAGGCTCTGTTCCACAAAGTGACCTAAGTTAAATATGTCTTCTGATCATCTTAACATTTTGAGATACATGGTCCAGATCAATTACAGATGTAATACTGTCCATGAATATCAAAGTGTTTTAATTATCAGTAACATGAATTCTACATCAATATCATGCTCACTGCCTTTTCTTCCATGTCAGTGCCGCCCGGAGAGCGGAAGGTCGCGGGTTCGATCCCCGACCGCGTCATACCAAAAAGACGTTAAAATATGGTACTTGTTGGTCCCTGCCTGGCGCTCGGCATTAATGGGTACAACAAGGACTGGTCGGCTCGGAGTCAGTATAATGTGTCTGAGTGTGGTATTCATGCTTCACTGCGTCATGGTATCTCAGTAGGCTAGCACTATAAAACCAGCTTAAGTCTGGGCTAGTACAAGCAGCCGCACATACACATACACATGCATGCACGTCGTCATATGAGCGAAATATTCTCAAGCACGACGTAAAACCCAATTTCACCTCACCTCCATGTCAGTGCTTGTATTGACAACCTTGGAGCATGATAATGGACATCATTACAAGCAACTTGTGTCACGGGTTACGGAGGCACTGAGATAAAGTCAACACAAAACTGGGCAACATGTTGAACTGCTCTGTACACGTAACTCATCAATATTCATTATATTGTAAACAACAAAACAAACAAACAAATAAGATAATAAACAAACTATGCAAAATATTGAGTCTGCAACAGACAATCCAGTGATTAACATAATCAGCATCAATCTTGGCAAATGGGCCATTGTGACATGCATCAAGCTAGCAAAAATGGCACTCTATCCCATTTGATGTATCTCAATAACAAGCATCACTTTGTGAAAACCAAATCGAACCCAGATACATCTTGCTCGTCATGATGGGTTTTGACTATCTAAATTAACATGCATGAAATTTATATGTTGAATTTATGCAAAAAATTTGTCTACAATATCATTGGTTATATAATGCAGTGTTAGAAATTATATAAGGTTTAGCTTAAGTGTTACTTCAATGATGGGACCCTTCTAACATTCTCTATATCTCCAGGGAACACCTACACTAACCACAGGCCCTGTTTCACAATGCCTTGGCCCATCAACTGTAATATATTACTAATGACTTTCGCATTGTGAAACTGGACCCAGGGGTTCGTACAGGTTAGTATAGGTCTATTTATTTGAAACCATACCTTTGGTTCTTGTGATCACAAATTACCTGCTCTTGAATGTCAATAACATCTAACAGAACAGTCAATAAGGGATTCACATAAGGGAAGGGTTAAGGGAGGTAACTTTTAGTACCTACAAAATGTAGCCTGGGTACAAATAGGCCTCTTATTGGCCCATGTCGCCCTAAAACTATAGAACCAACCAACCAAAATTTAGCCACTGACAGTTTTTAAAACCATGAAAACATCCTTCCCATAAAAAGCTTGTTGATCATAGGCTCTTGTTTTGGTGTCGTGCAGTAGGCTTTTAAAGTTTTTCCAATTTTGCACAAAGTTGTTGATGGCTTTTGTTTTGGTGTCGTGCAGTAGGCTTTTAAAGTTTTTCCAATTTTGCACAAAGTCGTTGATGGCTTTTGTTTTGGTGTCGTGCAGTAGGCTTCTAAAGTTTTTCCAATTTTGCACAAAGTCGTTGATGGCATTTGTTTTGGTGTCATGCAGTAGGCTTTTAAAGTTTTTCCAATTTTGCACACAGTCATTGATGGCTTTTGTTTTGGTGTCCTGCAGTAGACTTTTAAAGTTTTTCCAATTCTGAACAAAGTCGTTGATGGCATTTGTTTTGGTGTCGTGCAGTAGGCTTTTAAAGTTTTTCCAATTTTGCACAAAGTCGTTGATGGCTTTTGTTTTGGTGTCATGCAGTAGGCTTTTAAAGTTTTTCCAGTTTTGCACAAAGTCGTTGATGGCATTTGTTTTGGTGTCGTGCAGTAGGCTTTTAAAGTTTTTCCAATTTTGCACAATGTCGTTGATGGCATTTGTTTTGGTGTCGTAAAGTAGGCTTTTAAAGTTTTTCCAATTTTGCACAATGTCGTTGATGGCATTTGTTTTGGTGTCGTGCAGTAGGCTTTTAAAGTTTTTCCAATTTTGCACAAAGTCGTTGATGGCATTTGTTTTGGTGTCGTGCAGTAGGCTTTTAAAGTTTTTCCAATTTTGCACAAAGTCGATCATAATCAATGATGGCAAGCATGCTTTTGATATTGCCAACCCATCACTGAAGAAGCTTTGTTACTTGTATTCAGATTGGCATGTCCAGAGTCAGTGTGTGTTTGCTGAGTCCTGGAGACATAGAGGGTGCCCCACAACCTACATTTATCTGTGAGGATTCTGACAATAACAAGGAACTCCATAACATTTACAAGGACGACTAAATCAAGCAAATTCTGAATTGCAAACACTGCCATGCGTTATGACACTGTTGTCATGGCAGGGGTGGAAATAACCCATTGCCCGACGTCCGAGTCAAGTGTTTTTTTCTGTCGGGCAAGCAAATTTGTATATCATGCTGTAACCGTGTCCAGTTGACTTTCCAATGGTAATAATGATGTTTATTTAAAAAATCAACAAGAAAACGGCCGGTATAGTGGAAAACTTATCAGGGCAAGTGATTTTACATGTTCCACTGTACCAGAGTACACTAGCAATTTTAAAGTTATTTCCACCCCTGCATGGTGTCACACTGTTTTCATACCTGAAACACTGGCAACTTCTGTCTCTGCTGTTCTATGGACATTGATTGGTTGGCATTATACTTGACAGGCTGTGCCTCAGCGTCTTTGGTTGACTGTCTCTCTTCCTGTAACCCCTGACCTGGACCAGCAGTCCCTGCAACAGACCACCAAACATCAGATTCTGCTACACCAAATCAGAATCAGTTGTTTAACAAGAAGTTTTCTTAGGACACCTGTGATTGGTTGATTTTGTGTAAGATTTTTGTGTTTTGTGAATGTACATTCATCCAGTAATTGTTACTGACCGTGTTTTTTTACATCATCTTTATTAACGCTGAAGGGGTCGTTGTCGGCACAGGTACTACAGATATGTACCCCAGGTACCTTTCTGTATACAGATATGTACCCTAAACAAAGTCAAAATACAGAAACGTAGCCGGTACCCTAAAAGGGGGACGAGTCCATATTCCGCAATCCAAAAGCGAAACCGTATGTAGTTGTTCCCGTTCAACTGATTCCGAGTGGTATTCATGTGCATCGCGAAATATCAGTTACTGTGTATTCTCATTACTTACATAACGCAATCAAATGTATCTAATACAACAGTATGACAGTTCCGTTCAAGAATATGACACAATGGGAATGGAATCGTCCTAGGGTACGTTTCTGTATTCTCATTATGGCCAAGGTACGTTTCTGTATACAGAAACGTAACTGGGGTACATATCTGTAGTACCCGTACCGACAACGACCCCTTCGGCTTAACATGATGACTTATGCTGAATATGATCACAGATGTTTCATGGGGGTGTCATTTCGTGTTGTGATAGGGCTGGTCAGTTTAACTTCCTGTACTAAGAGAAAGAACTGGTTAATGTAGTCATTTTTATGTTCTTGACAATACTTTATGTGGACATAGGTAGATATAACAGCTGTAAAGGGCTTCCTTAAATTTGAAAAAAGAAACTGTCTTTGTAAAAGTCACTGGAGAAACCTTGAATAAATCTCCAGTGTTTATTTATAACACTTATTAACAGGTCATGTTGACAGCTAATAAACACGATAAATTTTACGCGATGCTTACGCTGAAGGGGTCGTTGTCGGCACAGGTACTACAGATATGTACCCAAGGTACGTTTCTGTATACAGACATGTACCCTAAACAAAGACAAACTACAGAAACGTACCCGGTACCCTAAACGACAGACGAGTCCATATTCCGCAACCCAAAACCGAAACCGTATGTAATTGTTCCCGTTCAACTGATTGCGAGTGGTGTACGTTGTACACCGTGAAATATTCGTTACTGTGTATGTTCTTATATAACGCTATCAAATGCATCTAATACAGCAGTATGACAGTTCCGATCAAGAATACTCCACAATGCAGTATGGAATCGTCCAAGGCGTACACATCTGTAGTACCCGTGCCGACAACGACCCCTTCAGCGCTAATAAACATGATAAATTTTAAGTGATGCTTACATATAATGTAGATTTTTCTTATAAGGCTGTTGGGCCTGGTGTTTATTTTTGGAAAAGACAATCCAGTGAATGAAACCATGATCATGGTACCATCGTACCGATCAAAAGGATCACAGCTATTTTATAATCACTGTGGCGCGGGTAAATTAAACCACACATAGATCTATGCAATTTCGCGTGATTTACCTGGTTTCCAGAATTTCAATCGAGTCGTCATGTCGTTTTCTCCACGCGACCACAACAGTCTACACGCCCATTTAACTGTCACCAGCAAACAACTAATTAGTTCGTCACAGGTCCCCCCTCACATCCGTGCACAAGTGACCGGCCAGTGCAATGTTGTCAAAACGTTGTTTTCATTTCGCCGGCACGTGCTTCCGGTGTGTTTATGCTAAAAGACGGACTCAGAAACGAAACTGCCCTCGTGGTTGACCGATCAGTCCTGTGTTGCGCTTAGCCACACGACATTATTTACAACAGAATTCAGCAGGACTAAAAGTGACACTTAGGAAATAACGAGTGTTAAATGTGTTTTATCCATATTAACATTGTTATAAATCGCGCAGCTGCAATACTGTTGAAACAGATATATATGCCCATGAAAGAGTCACAATTGTACAATCGACTCTTAAGATTTCTTATGAACGTGGAAAGTGTTTTGTCGCTTTTATTTGTGTAAGGTCACCTTCCCCCAAAGTACAGAGAAGTGTCAAATGTCGTGAACACTTGTTGTATTAATAGACTGCAATTCGTGTACATGTTACACAAAGTTTGGACTCATTTGTTTTCTTGGACATGGATATATAGCACAGTTGGCACCACACAAAATGACTGCATTAGCCAAATTTACTAACGTCAGGAAATACTCGTTTCATCCGGCGGCCATATGAACAACGTTTGAAATCTACGTATCATCTGGCCGTCAGATTTACACACGTTTAAAGGGGTGTCAAAATAAACGAACATTCAACTCTGCATTTACATGTATTTCACAGGTGTGTAAATCTGGCCATTGTTTCCATGTGTTTCCTAACATGCGTAACATATGTAAATGCTGTGATTGTAGGACATGCATTTCAATACCCTTGAAATCTCGTATGACCGGGGTTAGGTTTGTCATATATTTAGTACATGCGTAAATGGTTGGAAATGGGTAAATATAGTGTTACAAGATTAGCACTACTTTAACATGTATTTCAATGGTTCTGTAATGTAACTGTCACATAGGGTTCGTTAGCGCGTCCGACCACGCCATAATGTACTGAGATAATTAGAAACACAAGGTGAAGTGATACCCATGACTGAGCACCACTAATAGCGTGCTTGTCTTTCTTGACATACACATGGTGTCTGTTTAACAGGTTCAAATATCGGGTCTATGGGCCAGAGCGATATGTATGTTAGGGAGTGTGTGTGTGTGTGTGTGTGTGTGTGCGAGGGAGAGGGTGTGGCATGGGGTAGGCCTAGGGTGGGGTGGTGGCGGTTGGTCGGTGTTGGGGTACTGATAAGTCTTTCTGACCAGTAGGTAATATCGTTTATACTTTTTGTAATGGAAATTACATAACAGTTTAAATAACTGACCTAAGGTACACTTCTTATATATGCTATACAAGGAGACACTGCTAATTACAATAAAACACAGACATGAACCGGTAAGTCCCTAATTTTAGTGCTCACTTGTATGAGTTATCCGACTGATCATAACTGAACAAATTTCATCATCTATACTTTCATAAAAGATGATTACAATGTATTAATGATTCCCGGTGTAAATTACTGTTGTAAATGTGTGAACATGCACATACTTGGTATGACCTCTTTTTGATTCGGAATACAGGTATTATTCCATACGGACGTTTTCTCAAATTTCAGTTACCCGACGGAATATACTGTAGACATATTTTGTTTCCACCTCTTGGGTAGACTAAAGAAAATTGTAGTGATTGCAATTAGCTCATAATTTTCATAATAGACCCCATTTTGTTTCCATCTCTTGGGTAGACTATAGATTCTTATTGCAATTAGCTCATAACTAAGCAGTTTCGATAATTATTGAAAGCTTACTACCTGACAGCATTATGTTGCTCATGCGTTTTCTTTCTTGCTTTTGCTTATTGCTGTCTAATTTGTTATACATTATATAATTATGTTAATCATTTTGGCATCTCAAAATCATGGAATATAATGTGTACTTATTAATCTATCAAAGTACCGACACGTATTATCTGTATGCTTTACTGTTATTGGGTGAAACTGTTAAGTACCTTCGTACAGAATTTCGAGGAAATAGAAACTGAAAATTACTAGATCGATGGAAAACTAAATTGGATAAAGATCGCAAACAATCATTATTTATATTCCACTTTTTAAATTATCAGTGTGCAGATCATGTCACTAACATAAAAACTGAAGGATATATGGTGACAAAACTGGGTTCAATCTTGAATGTATAATAAATGTACCAATGTATATTCTGTAACAGTATCAAGGAATGATGGGATACGCTCGTGGTTAAAGCGTTCGCCTGTCAGGTCAAAAACCAGTGGTTGATTTCCGACATAGGCACATTAAGACTGAAAATATATTATTTTGATAAAAGGCAAAGATCTTAATTTCAATTGAAAAAAAAAGAGACGAAGTAATTTGGAAGATTCACAGACTAACAACGTCTATATTGGGGCTACAGGTGCAGGAAGCATCTTCAATTATAAAATCACATTCCACAAACATCATATAAAGGTTTAAATGACAAGCATATTTATTGGTATCTTGCCAAGCTCTGTCCTCTCTCAATGCAGTATAACCAGAGTGCTGTGGTCACTACCTCAGGTGGCCATATTCAGCCATCCCATTACTTTACAGTATTTTCTTACAGACATATATATGGAAAATTAACTTTTACGGGTATGGAAAGAGTGGGGGGAAACACGTGCAAAGTATTAGTCAGCTGAGATTATCCTTCAAAAACATCATATGTACAACAATCACTTATCATTATGTGCAACCAAAGCATTACAAAAAGGCCATATTTCCAGACAGCATAACACCATCTTGGGCTGGAGTTCCAAATAATTTGACACCGAAAGCCTGTCAGTTAACGCAAAGGAAATAACCCTTGTGTTTTGAAATGATGCCTTAATCATAGTCACAATGAAGTGTAGGTTGCCATGCATTTTCTAGTCTGTCTCACAGTCCCTGAACCACATTATTTCCCCTACTGCCAAGCCCTCTCTGCAATGTTAAAGCCTTAAATGAAGCAAGTCTAGATCTCCTCAGGTCCAGGGTCTGTTAACATCTGCAAGAAACCTAACTCACTTTGGGGGTCGGGCTACAAAGTAAACATATCTATAGCTAACTGTCATGGCTAGCCGGACTGAATCTCGTGTCTGCCTTGGGCTCCTTTTCAATTTAAATGGGTTTGTTTGTTGCTATCAAAATTATATATTCAGACACTGAGCGTTAGTCTATGTATTTTCCAATATGATGAAAATACTAATATTTACCAAATAAAATTCTAAAGGAGCCTTTCTTCAAGCAGTGACTTAACGTCATACATAGCTAGACTTGCTTAGATGATAGACTTCATATAAATCATCATAGATATTTCACAAGCATGGTACAGGACCCTTAGCCTCATTAGCTTATTGCCTCACCACTCGCGAATTAGGCGTTGGCAGATGTAAATGTTACTGGAGATGTTGGTCCCGCCAGCTGTGGGTGTTTGGTATGACACTCCATAACCCAACCCTGCAGTAAGTTTTCCTAGAGACGGAAGGGGAAAAACTATCGTTCTGTGGCTATGGAAAACCAAACATATTGGACAACAAACCATTGTTTGGGTCTTTTAATTGTAAATATGATTCAAATAGCTTAACCTAGATTTCGATATCCTCCGATAGGTACATTTGGTGGAAAATATACATTTATACCGAGACAAGGACGAATGTATATGTATAATAAAATGTAACAGCACTAGTATCCATTTTGTCTTTTGTCTTCTACCCGTCAGAACTAGATTAACAACTAGTCCCTGATATGAATATATTTTACAGAAAAAAAGTTCATATTAAAAAAAAATATAATATAATGAAAAGGAGCCCTGAGACTTTCTCCTGAAGCTGTGGAAATCTAGATTTGCCACATTTTGTAGACTTGCGTGGGCTTGGATATATTTGCTTCAGGGTCTGTATGACAGACGACGTCCCAACATACGCTCAGTCACATGTGTCTCCAGGTCACGGAGAATCAGTGGTTAGAGGCCCGTATTGCAATTCTCGTGCGTTTGTCAGGCGCGTAGCAAGCCATTTTTTTCGTGTAAGCCCTATGGGCTGCAAAGCTTTATATTTAGGTGGTATTGAGGGCTTGCCCAACTTTCATTTTTTATGAGACCTGAAGAGTTATCGTTTGACGTTTGATAATTTCAATAGCTTCAAAATATTGTGGAAAGACTTCCGCCTGTATCCCCCCTTAAATTTCATTCTAGTCAAATCATATCACCTGAATATATACTGTATATATTCCTCATCTGATAAGGATGAGTTTTAACGTGATTTGTTTATTGTATCTGAACATACTGAAAGACATATTCTACTTCTAAAAATGCCACTCAAAGAAAGTTTCCTCATCGTTAAAATTAAGGGGGGGGGGGATACGTACGGAAGTCTTACCACCATGGAAATTGAAATGTGATTTCCTCTTATACAATATGTTTGCACATAGTTTAAACATGTCTGCTGCATTGATACAATACCATACATCGAGTATTTGGTGTTTTTTCTTAAATAATTGATAAACAAATGAAAAATAAACAACTGCATTTCAGTGATGATTCACATATAATCATGACTGTAACAAAACATCCTCATACATGTCGATGGAAAAACAATCATCGCTGAAAGTTATGATATGAAGAATAACCTGTTTACTGTACATGGTAATGCTTTAATCAAAGAATACTGTAGTCAGTATGATTCATAGAGGGATTTCCACTTTTTAAATGGAATGTGTTTGTAGGTATTTTTGGCAAGAATTAGAAGACAAATTATTTTTTAGCAAAGATCATGTGTAAGCTCGAGCTGTTTTTGATAATGGTAGTTACGCCTCTGTTTGCATGTGTTGTTGACGCAGCATGGACGCCTTGTAACATCACTATTTGATTATGATTCACAAACAAATGCCCATGATATGGTCGGAATCGTGCCATGGATTAGCAGATATTTATCACGAAAACAGGTTTTTATGTAGGTAGCTTGATCCTCGCTTTTACAAAGGCCTATAGGTCCGATCACAATATATTTCGTTTTACAGCTTCTCTTTTCTTAACATGCTCACGTCAAAACTTATTTAAATTCTATCGCAGATTAAAGAT